CTTATTTTTTTTTTAAAGAAATTTTATTGGGGAACTGTGTTTTTTCCAGGACCCATCAGCTCCAACTCAAGTAGTTGTGCAGGTTGCAACTCTGCAGCCCATGTGGGAATCGAGCTGGCAACCTTGGTGTTATAAGCCTACGCTCTAACCACCTTAGGTAACCAGCAGCCCCTGTGCTGGGTACTTGATGGGCCCTTTCATTCTGAAAACTTTTGTCCTCTCTGCTTGAAAAATTTATTTTCTGTGTTCTCTTTTTGAATCTCTTATTCAGCATTCCTCTGGACCATTCTACTTTACTTGTTCTTTCTCTTCTATTTTTCTGTCTTTTTGCCCTTTGGCTCTGGATGATTTTCTCAACTTTTTCAGTCTTTCTCCTGAGTTTTAAGTTTTCTCCTTATATTTTTAATTTCCAGGAGCTTTGTAATTTCTGAATGTTACTTTTTGATAGTGTGCTGTTCTTGTTTCATAGTTGCATTATTTTTCTTACCTCTTTGATATTAATGGTATATATTTAAAAATTTTTTTCTCCCTGCGTTGTTTGTCTCCTCTGAGTTGCTCCCCATCCCACCCCAATTTTGTCTTTGGCTTTTATGTTGGATGTCCAATAATCCTTGGTTGACTGCTTCTGTCTAAAGGTAGGATACTAAAGGCTAATTGACAGCCCTGAATTCATGAGTAGAGGTTGTCTATATGAGCTTTACTTGAGATGATCAGGCTAGACAGTTTAGCTAGTGTAAGTATTGCAATTGCTGTAACAATGATCTCCTAAATCTTAGTGACTTAACATTTAAGTTTATTTCTCACATAGAGTCCAGTGTTGATGCTCCTGATGAGCTAGAGAAGGGACCAAAGGAACTTCTGCATCTAGATAACATGGAAGATGGTGCAGGAGTTTTTATGGGTGAGGGATGGGTGGTATATTTTTAACAACTGGCTCAACTGGGAGGGAAAAGCTTTAATTTGTAGCGTCTGCTACATGGTGTAAGCATGCCCATCATGGTCATTTCAGGCTACCAATGTGATGGCACTGAATGCACAATTGGCTTTCAATTGTACCAGCTCTGGCGTACCAGTGCAACCACCAGCCACATTCCATTGGTCAGAACTGAGTTGTATGGCTTCCTCTAATTTCCAGGGAGAATGGAAAATACTGTAGAATTGTGTGCCCGCAAAGTAAAGGAACAAGATTTTGGTGAACAGATAACAGTTTCGGCTGTAACTGGAACCTCCAATGTCATTATCTTTAGATCTAGGTAGAATTCCCAGGAGAAGTTTGTTCCAGACTCCTGTCTGGAAGGTGAAGAAGGGCATACATTTCTGTGAGTTCGAAGTCTGACATGAGTTTTTCTGGGCTAAAATCAAGGTATCAGCAGAGCTGCATCTCTTCCTGGGGCACTAAGAGAGAATCCATTTCCTCGCCTTTTCCAGCTCCTAGAGGCTACTCACATTCCTTGGCTGATGACCCCGTTTCTCCACTTTCATAGCATTTCTGACTTCTTTTCTAGTTATATTTCCCTCGGACCAGGAGCCATGTCATTAGATTAAGCCCAATCAGATAACATGGGGTAATCTCCCCATCTCAAGGTCATTAATGTAATCACATCTAAAAAGTCCTTTTGTCATGTAAGAGGATATCACTGGTTCCAGGGATTAAGATATTGTTGCTTTGGTGGGCTATTCTGCCTACCATAGTATCATGCTCTCCAAAAATCCTCTGTTTTATCTACTAGGAATCAGTTTACAAACTTTTCTTGGGAGTGGTGGAGAGAATTTAGTGGTCTTTCAGCTTCTTAAACAGACCTCCTATTTTTCACTCCTCTATTCATCTTCACTTCTAACACATAAAGCACCAATTCCTGAGCCTTTGGCTTTTGTGATACAAATTGGGTTAGTTCTTGGGTTTCCATGTTACCAATTTAGGATTACATGTTCTGAATTTTACTTAATACTTTACGACTTTCCAAATTTTGTTGTTCTTGACTTCCTTTACCACTTTCCTCATCCTTGTGAATTTATTATGCCTTTACAAAAAAAAAAAAAAAAGAAGAAAAAAACCAACCCTTTATTGTTGTATTAGCTGGGTGAGAAGGCAACAAAAATAAAATGTGTGTTTAATCTATCATGTTAATTAGAACAGGGCACATACTTTTAACTGTACTGCTTTATTTCATTGCCTTTTGTGTGTGTATGTGTGAAAAATCTAAGTTTTTTATAATATAAAAGCATGTGGATCCATTTTTTAGATTATAAATTCATTTATTCAGTACACTTTCATTGGCTATTATATACCAACCACTTGTTGAAAATTTCAGATTCAAAGACTATCTGGAAGAGCTCAGAGTCTGGTAGAATTCAGGTATTTACAAAGGAAATTATAAGTATGTAATAGGGATAGAAACAGTCCCAAGGAAGAACTGACGAAGAAGGAACTAATTTTTCCTGGGAAAGTAAAAAAAGACCTCACAGAAGTTATCATGTTTGAGCTGTCTTAAAAGGGTTCTGCTAGAGAGTGGGGTAAGGAAGTAGGTAAATGTGAAGAAAGTAAAGGGTGAAAAGTTCACTATTGTTGGAGCAGATTATAGAGGGGAGAAGAAACAGGTGATGAAACGTCAAACGTAGGTTTTGGAGGGTGTTTTATGGCACAGTCGGGAGTTTGGATTTTATTTTAGGTCAGATGGAAGCTTGAGGGCTTTAAGAAAGCAAGTATAAATTTTTTTAGGCAGTAATTCTGGTGACACATGTGGCATGGAGTAGAGAGACAGGTGGCAGAGTAAACGTGGGTAGTTCTTACAGTATTCTGGATAAGAATAAGAATCTGAGTTGAGATAATGTCTTTGAATCAGCTTTACTGTTTCTGAAAAATTAACAGGACTTGGTGACTGAATGGACATGGGAAGTGAAAGAAAAGGAATCAAGGTTTTTGGCTTAAGAGTGGTGAATGGTGATGCTATTAACTGGGATTAGAATATAGTAAGAAAAATAGGTTTTAGAAAAAAAATGGGATGTTTTTAGTCTTCAACATGTAAGTTTTAATATATGGACTGCAAGTGGAGATGCATATTTGGAAGCTAGAAATATCTATTACCAACTCAGAAAAGAAGGTAGGCTTCTTTTAGGCACTAGGCATGTGGGAGAATTAAAGATTAGGGAGATAATAACATGGTTGAATCCATGTTATTGGTAGGTAAGGGTAGGTAAGGCCATCCAAGGGACACCATTTAGTTCTAGATGAAGACTAGAATGAGGTGGTAGAAACAATCAAGCAAACATAAGGAAAAAATAGGGCAGCTGTCTTATACAGTACTTCCTCCCCCTTCCTCCCTCCTCTTCAGTTTTTTAATGAAATATTGATTAGATAAAAAAATTTATTAAATATCTGTATCATTAATGAAATAATGTCCTAATTAGTGTATTCACCACCCCTTTTAAGAGAAAATACCAATATCTTTGAAGTCTTTCTGCACATCTCTTGTATTTCATCCTATTTTTCTCTCTTCTGTAAATACCATCTTGAATTTTTTAAAATAATTTTTATTTTTGATTTGCCACATATTTTTGGTCCTTAAGTAATTTATTGTTTAGTTCTGCATGTTTTTGAACTTAAAAACATAGAATCATAGTGTTTATAGTCTTCTGTGACTTGATTTATTAAAAAACACAACATTTCTAAGATCATTCATTGGCATTATATCTATTGTAGTCATTCATTTTCATTGCTGTGTAATATTCCACGCAGGAGTAAATCACAACTTATTTACGCATTCTAGTATTGATGGATATTTATATTGTAGTTTTTTTTTGTTGGTACAGGCAGTGCTGCTATAAGCATTCTTGCAAACATCTTTTTTAATTTCTCTAGAGTTTAACTAGGAGTTGAATAGCATTGTCCTAGTGTATTCACATGTTCAGTTTTACTAGGTAACGGTCATCTGTTTTCAGAAGTGGTTGTACCAATTAACAGTTTTTCTAGCATTGCTTAAGTGCTTTGTTGTTCCACATTCTTGCCAATACTTGATATTGTTAGACATATTTATGTCTTCATCAGTAGTATGGACGCTTAATGTCATTATAGTTTTAATTAGCAGGGGTTTTTTATTTAATAAATTTAGTGGGATGACATTAGTTAGTAAAATTATATAGGTTTCAAGTATACATTTCTATAATACATCATCTCTATATCGCATTGTGTGGTCACCACTCAGACTCAGTTCTCCTTCCATCACCATGTATTTGACCCCCTGTTCCCTCTTCTACAATCCCACTTCTCCCTTTATCCCCATGATAACCACTGAACTATTGTCTGTGCTTTTGTTTCTTTGTTCCTTTGTTGCTTTCAGTTTTATATCCCACATATGAGTGAAGTCATATGGTTCTCTACTTTTTCTGTCTGATTTATTTCACTTAGCATGATAACCTCAAGATCCATCCATGGTGTTGCATTTTTTTCCCCTTTTTTTCCTGTATGGACTTGAGCATCTTTCATAGTTTATTCACCATTCTGGTTTCCATTTCTGATAACATACAAAGATGAGTAAGATGGATGGATTCTTATCTCAATTTGCATTTAGATAAACTTGCTTAATTGGAAGGTCCAAACTTTCTTTCAGTAAAATATATTAGATTAGCTACATGAATTAGTTATAACTTTACTTCTCTGTTTCAGTCTACTCATTTGAAAAACAATAGGCTTTGACTAGTTAATATCTAGTGTCCTTTTACTAGTGTCTGTAATTCATCTAATAGTATTCTTGTTGGTTTTGGAATTTAGAAATAAATTAGTTATATTGTAGTGGTAAAGCATAAAGTGTTGGTTTTTGTTTTGTTTTTGTTTTTGATCAAAAATGTTGGGTTTTGTTTCTGTAAGATGTGGTACGTTAGTTTTCCAGGGAGCTTTCTCTTAGATGAATTTCCAGGTAGATGCTACTTTTATTTTTGAAATTCTTAAAATGCTGTTAAAACTATAAGTTCGAGTCTAACATATATGAATTATTCTTTCTCAGAGTGAAGATACACAACAGCAAATCATCAGGGAGACATTCCATTTGGTATCTAAGAGAGATGAAAATGTTTGTAATTTCCTAGAAGGAGGATTGTAAGTAAAGCATTCCATAGACATTTTAAATCTTCGACTATATGATTAAAATGTATACTGTTTAATCTGTTTATGTTAAAAGTTTGCTAATTTTAATTAATTGGATCAGGTGAATTGCCACTTATGTTAGCTATAAATCTAACTTAAACAATGTTTTTAAGATACACAATCATTTTTTTCTTTTTAAGAATTTTACAAAGGTATTTTAAATAAAGGTAATATATTCATATGGCAAAAATTCAAACATTGCAAGGAACTATAAAATGTAAACTATCTCCCTCTTCCAACTTTAGTCCTTCTTCCCAGTTTCTTGTGTATTCTTCTAGAAAATTAAATTTGCATTGACTAACATGTAAAAGTATGACCTTAAAACATTTTACTTATGAGATCAAACCATGTATGCTAGTTTGCATGTTGCTTGTTTTTACTCAATATTTTGAAAAGCTTTGTGCATTAACACATTTAGAGCTATCTTATTCTTTTTAATGATTACAGAGTATTCCTTAGAATGAATAGATCTGTTCATAAAATTTTAGATTACATATTTTATTTTATTATTACAAATAAAACTGAAGTTTACTTTTCAAATATGTATCCCTATCTGTGTGTGTACATGTATATGTATAGGAATATCTGTATATAGGTAAATTAGAATTCAGCTAATATATTTTTCTATTTTAAACAAATAAATAAGAATTACTTATAATTAACTTGCCAGCTATTATAAATAAATACTTTTAAATTAATGGGGTCCATGAACACAATTTGCTCTCATAATTTTATAAATGTTCCCCTCCATGTTTATATAATTTCTTATTGATACTTCCTTGTTGACAATTCAAAAACTAAACTTTACCTGAGCCCCATTATGAATAAGCACAAATTAGAGAAACCTATACTTTTGTATTTTAAGGTATATATTCTGAAAAATAGGATAGTAGTCATTCTTATCTGACCATAAATTTTTATCATTTAGAAATTTTACTGTCATTTCATAAAACTTTGTATCATGCTGCACTTAAATTTACAAATACACACTTATAATTTGTAAATTTTGCCGTTAACTCAATACCTCCAATTTAATAGTTGAGACAGGTACACCTGCTTTCTGTTTTTGTATTTTAATTGTACTCGTTTCCCTTAAACTTCTGTGGTTTAGTTGTCTTTGCCATTACCATCACTTCCCTCACCTCAGCCTCTTAATCTCTTATCTCATAGGAAACTTATCAACCAGCACAGTGCACTGCAGGTGATAGACAAGCAGCAGCCTGATTGACCTAACCAGGGCACTGTTTGAGCTCGACATTATGTAATTACTCTTTTCCAACCTTATGAAAAGTAGAAAGCAAATGTTGCATCAAAGATGTGGCTACACATCTGGTTTAGTCCTAGTTTTGTCACCAACACCTGCTGATTTTCTTGGCCAGGTAACAAATTCTTAGACCTCAGTTTTCACTTCTATAAAATGAGGTATTTGGACTAAAGATTTCTAAATTTCTGTGGTTTTATGTGATGTTTTGCATTCCATACAAGAATTTGTATCAGTATTTATTATCAGTATTGTACTATAGTTTAAAGATGAATTTATGTTTTTAAAGGCAAAATACATACTTGCCACATTCATATCTTTGCTTTCTTTTAATAACATTCGTAGCCATTTTGAAACTTTTAGAAGTTTGGTCTTCTGTTAAGGCAGAGCCAAACCAGAGTGTAAGATAACTGCTAAATTGCTGATCCAGGATGAAGTGAAGCCTGCTGTTTGTACTCTTTGTTTCTTTCAAGGAACAATTGCTATCATAACCTATAAAAATAATCTCAGAGAATTTTTAAAGTGCACATATATTTAAATAGAATATCTTTTCTAGAAATGTACCTAGCATATTAGAAATTTTTTTTGTCAAAGATTATTTCTCCTTTTGCTATTAGAAAATATAAAGATAGTGTCTACTTAGAAAAGTTGTTTCTACAGAGCTTGCAAATTCAGTGTTACTTTTATTGAGTTAGTAATAGATGTTATTTTCCCATTTCTTGTTTGATTGTTCAATTAGCTTTGTTTACATTTAGTCATGATAATATGTTAGTGATAGTGTTAGTGTTAGAGGGCCTTTTGAGAAGGTGAACTAATTATTGTAAACTTAACTATGAAATAGCTAAACTATATTTAGAAAACTATAAGATTTTTGGAATGATTTCTAAATTATTTTTAAAATGCTGTAATTCTAGTCAATATAAATAAAAACAGGTGATGACAGAATTATCTCTTAGTTCATTTTTTATTTTGCATTTATATTCCAAAAACTGTCCAAATTTAAGAAGAAATGTCATTTTTTTCATTTTCTAGTTGTTAATAAATCTTAAGCTGTGTAACTTACTGTGACCTATGGAGTTAAACCTAGTAAGCACTTACAAATGCCCTGTGATATGAGTTCTGCCTACTTCTCTGACCTCATTGTTTACTAATCTTTCTTTGTTTTCAGGCTTTGTTTCTATTCCCTGAACATCCAGATTTCATTCTTGATGAAATGGCCTTTTTATTAGTTGTTACCTTTGCCTGAAATGCTCTTCTCTAATTTTTTTCATGGCTGGCTCATTATCATTAGATCTCAGCCTACATGTCAGACTTAACATCCAACCCGAAGTAACGAATTCATCAATATGGTATCTTTCTATTTTGATTGCCTATGTAGCGCTTTCTTCTCTGATAATTTTTTCTTATTTATTTATTCCTCACCCACTATCAGTGCCTGGCATATAGCAGTTACTCAGTGGAGAATTTAATGCACGAATGAATTAAAATTACGCACCACCATCTTTTACTTGACATTTTTTTGTAGATAACAACCATCTTAATTTACTTAGACTCTAATACAAGTTCACTTGAATGCTGTGCCATCAAATAAAAGGTTTTTAAGCAAATTGTCAGTTTGCTTGAGCTAAAGAAAATGTTTTTCATTTTGTTCCTATAACATTCCAATTGTTTTGTTTTGTCATTTAGATTAATTGGAGGATCTGACAACAAACTGATTTATAGACATTATGCAACGTTATATTTTGTCTTTTGTGTGGATTCTTCAGAAAGTGAACTTGGCATTTTAGATCTAATTCAAGTAAGTTAACCCTTGCCTCTAACTATCTTACATAACAATTTTGGCATTTATAGTTTTAAAAACTTGTATGTTCTAAATTTTCTAAAATGATGTTTTGTTTGGTAAGAAATGAAGTGTTCCATAGTAGATACTGGGTGGATAAAAGAGGGATGAGGGATGTAGAAACATGCAGACTAACTTCATCTGATTAGTACTAATCACAACTAATTCCATCATTAGCCCCTTTTTTCCTGTTCCTGTAAGTCACCACAAGAAGCCCAAGACTCATGGGTTTCTTACCATATGTATCCAGATCTGACCCCAAAACCCACCCCTCTCTGTCTCCTGAAAATCTTTCATTATGTCCCTGGAGCTCAAGGTCAGTTATCAGCAAATTCCTCTTCATCTTCAACCTGTTCTGTTAATATTACCTTCACCTTTTTGCTCTAAGTTAAATCTGGCTTCTCTGATGACATTACCTGCAACCCTTTCCAGTGGTAGCAGTTTTCTCTCATGCTTTCTTCATACCATTGAGCCCTGGAGGTGTTCTCTTTGCTTCTCATTGCTTTTTCCAGATCATTCTCTTAAAACATCTCCAAACTTTATCTCATGCTATCAAACTGTACCATCTTCTATCTATCCTGTGGCAGTAATCTTTTATCCCTACCTCCCATTCATTGGAGATTTTGTCGAAACTTTCAAGGGTCTGATTTTACCACACTTGCAAGCTAACAAGTTAACTACCATGGTTTCATGGATACTGGCAGAAGATGAGAGATTTCTGGGCCAGAAACCAAGGACTTGATTACTAACAGCAAAAGCAGGAGCCAGAGTAACAGCATTTGCCTACATTGGTTCCTCAAGTCCCAGTTACCAAAGTGTGACTTGAAGAGGGCCACATGATACCTGCATACACAGAGGGCTGAGCTATAGGAAAGGAAACCCAAGCTTAGGGAACTGGAATCTTTTATAATGGACACTAAACACGTCTGCCCTTGACGCCCAGGAAGAAAATGTCTTCTAATAGTGTAGGTAAACCTACCCTTTGCTTCGGAGGGAGAGTTTCAGTTTTCCAAGGCTGTTTGCTATATAAGCTTGTGTGAAAAGAGTCCACAATAAAGGCACTCAGTAACTCTGCTCACATTAGGTGCAGAAACGGAAGACCCATGGGGAATTGGCCCCTGCATTCACTCCAGTACTACTTGTGGTACAATTCTTGGTGATTTCAATGTTCATGTGGATAATTCTTCCAGTACATTGGTGTCTTCAAATGTGGAATTCCTCTTTTTTAATGAATTTTGCTCTGTACCCCACCTCACTACTGATTTCTAGGTCTTGTCTTTATCCAAACTTCAATTCCTCCATCATCTAAATTGCACAGCTTCCACACTCTACCACCTCTTGTCTTTTATATTGCAACTTCTATTACTCCAACAATTCTTTCAGCTTGTTTAGATCTTCAGTCTTTTAAATTTATCATTTTTTCATTGTCCTTGATCCTCCTGATGTCTTACTTTCCTTATCCAGCTGAAACTCTATGGTCAGTTGTGCTAATCATAGCCTTGCGTGTACTCAGCTCCTTCCCTTTACCTGTACATCTGAACATACTCAAAGGAAAAAAAACAAAAACAAAAACATAACCATACTTATTGGCCTCACTTTAAACTCATGATCTTAACCTCAGTGAGACCTTAATGCTTCCCAGTCATCATACTATAGTTCATTTCCTAGTTCATTGAGAAAACTGAAGCAATCAGAAGAGAACTTCTACATCTGTGTCCATGTACTCCTATCGGCTCTCTTTTCTATGAGAGATGAACTCACTGTACTCCTAAGCTAAGGCCAGTTTCCTCCTCCTCATTGCTGTAGCAAATTCTCCCTTCTGTATTATTTTTCCGTCATATCATTTGCATTAGCCTATAATATGTTCTCCCATTAAAAAAAAAAAAAAGTCCTGTCTTTACTTCCTTCTCCAGCCACTGCCTCATTTTTTCCCCTCTCTTTACAGCAAAAATACTTATAAAAAGTTTGTATACAATGTCTCAAGTTTTTCTTCTTCCATTCTGTCGTGAACACACTCCAATCAGGTTTTTAGCTCTACAGTTGCTGAGCCAAAGGTTTTCATCTGTGCTCCTCTATTTGATTATCACGCTTTTCTTCATGAAATGTTTTCTTTTCTTTTTTTTTTTTTCTTTTAAAGATTTTATTGGGGAATTGGGGAAGGGGATCAGACAACTTGCTGTCCTTTTGTTCTTCAGTCTAGTTGTGGAGGACGTCACTTCACTGGCCCATGTTGGTATTATCATTGCGCTCTTCCCAGGTGAGGCAGTCGCTCACCGGCCATTGGATGGCTGCTCACGGCGGCTCACGGCAGCTCACGAAAGTCCATGCCTGCTGCCGGCCAGCCCCACTGCAGCCCATGCCGTCGCCAGTGACTCACGGCAGGCCAGCATCAGGTTGAGCTGTTGTTCACCATCTTAGCTGTAGAGGGTGCAGTGTCACTTGCTCTCATGTGGGATCCGGACTGGAGCCCTGCTGCTCAGAGCTGGCATCCCAAGCTAACTCCTAACCAACTCTTGGCCGGCCCTAGAACTTGGGTTCTAGGACACCTTACTGGCCTGATTTTCATCCTACTTCTGTAGTTGCATCATTTCAGTTTCCTGATCTCTCCAACCCCTTCTTCTTAGGCAAATCCTGTTGGATATACAGAATCTGACCACTTATTCCTCTCTGCACTGTGACAATCTTGATCCAAGCCACTGCCAGCTCTTGCCCGGATTATTGCAGTACTTTTCTGACTGGCCTCCCTGCTTCCTCTGTCTTTTCCCTTTGGCCTTTTCTCAGTATAACAGCCAGAGTGATACTACTGCAATATGTTGTATCTTACACTCTTCCATTCTGAACTCTTCAGTGGCTTCCATTGTCACTCAGTAACGGCCAAATTCCTTACGAATGACCCAGGAGGCCCCTCATGTTTTGACTCCTCCCCACATCCTGCTACTTATCTTAGTTTGTCTTTTTCTCCTTTTCCTTTTGTTCTACCCACACTGGCCTCCTTGCTGTTCCTCAAATATACAAGGCTTTCTTCTACCTCAGAGCCTTTGAACTTGCTGATCTTTCTACCTAACGCCATCGTTCTTTCAGGTCTTGATCCAGATGTCACCTTCTTAATACGGTATTTCTTGGCCCATCTCTTTGATGTTTTCTATTCTCTTTCCTGCTTTATTCTTTTCCTTAGTACCTATTACCATTTAGTATACTATACATTTGACTTACTTTATCTTGTTTATTGTCGTTTAGCCTTATAAAAATATAAGCTCTATGAGGGCCAGGATTTTTGTTTATTTTGTTCACTGATTTATTCCCATTGCATAGAAACGTCCTGGCACATAGTAGGTCCTTAACAGATAATTGTTGAATGAATGAATGTATTTAATGCTAAGATTTTTGTACTTTCTGTTTATCTGTGATATTCCATTAAAATTAAAAAATTAACTCTGACAATAAAAAAATGCAGTTGCTACAAATAATTGTATTGTGTTAAGATTATCATGAGGGAATGCTTTGAATTTATAAGTTGTAGATTAGAGGAAGCTGCATATAAAAAGGAAGTTTTCTTTGCCAAACAAGTTTCATGTTTTTGAAATCAGCAAGGAGGAGGCATGCATGGTTTGAGATCAAGTTAGTTATAGAGTAAATGAGAAATTAATCAAAACAGAAAATCTTGGTAACAATTATGAGTACCAAAGCTTAAAAATATTAGAAGTGGCTAGATTAAGACTTACATATCAAATATTGGTTAATAAAGAAAAAAAAAGACAAGTGATAAGTGGAGGTTAATATGCCAGATTACTCCTAAACCTATAATTCTTAAACTGGGTTTTGAGGAAGAACTAGATATTTGAGTTCTCTGAAACAACAGAGAAATCATGACAAACGTTCTTGGTATGTGGGTTTTTTGTTTTTGTTTTTGTTTTTTTTAATTGGTAGTGAGGAAATGACACTTTTAAAATAAACATGTATATATTATGAGGTAGAATAGAAATTTTATGTAATAGTAAAGCTGTAAGAGGAGACTTTTGAGCTTGAGGTAGATATGCCTCAAGACCTTACTTATATATTTACTTTTCTCCTGGGACTACTTGAGAAACACTGCTAAGTTTTGTTTTCCCAAAGGCTTTTCTAGTGAAGAAAGAGAAGCCAGCTTTACCTTATTTGTGTATTGGTAACAGTTTAGGGTTGATCAGAACTCTATATTGCATTGCCTTTTAACTTTGTTCATTATTACATTTCTTGTTTTATCTTATATAATAGGTAGTAGTTAATTCATTATACCATTATTTCAAAGACGCTTTGTATTTTTTAGAACATAGTTTTTAAATACGAAATTGTACTTTATATTTCTCTCTCAATTATCCATGGCTGAAGAGAGTGGTAGACAGTCACACTATATTCCAAAACACTTTTTTTTTTATTGTCTTGACATAGCTACTAGTGATATAAGAGGAAAAACAGAAAAGTAATCCATTTCAAATTCAGTCTATTTTATTGAAGAGGAATATTGTAGTTAAGAAAGACTAAAACAAATGTGAATTTTCCCAGAGGCAAATCAGAAGTATTTTACACTTGTGTCCTGAAATTTAAGTGTTATCATCATTGATTCTTACTTTGATGCTATGACTGATGTTAATGGTTATGATAGCATAGTTGTTATGTTTCAGAAGGGAGTTATATGGGGACTTGTCAAAGAACAAATATCCTTTACCATATCTGAAGTAATTCCATTATGTGTTTGTGGAAAGTGGAAACTATGTCTTATGTTTTGCAAAATTTTCTAGCCATTACTGTTGAAATGTTGATTCTTGATATTTCAAATTTGTGTTGATATCATATAAGATATAGATAAGAGGATTTCAGGAGAATTGTGTTATCTTCCCATTACTAATGTAGGCTAGAACTGTTTTTACAAGATCCTATTGAGTTACCACATGTTGTTTAACTATAATATCATGTCACACGCA